AAGATTGCAGTTGTGCACATTATGCTTAAATTGTTTATCCAATCCTAATACACATATATAATAACTCCAAAAGTCAACCAAATAAATTAAAACTCTTATCCATTCTTCATTTGGAGGAATCCCATTCAGCTCTGTTTCTAAACCCCTCCAATACAAAGGAGTGCTCTATTCCCTGAGCAATCTCCTTCAAAAACACTCTCCTAAATGGTCCCAATAACAGCAAGGAAACACCACTTAAACACCAAAAAGTAAACAAGGTCAAAAGGGGAAAAAAAAGACTGCTCAAGTTTCTTTGCTCTCCTAAAATCTTAAAAAATTTCTAGTGTTTAAGTTGCATTTTGATCCAACGCACAAAATCAAACAGTCATTTTATATGATTTGTCCATAAGATTTATTATACCTTGGAATATTACATATTTATAGATTAAGGGATCAAATTGCAATCTAGATATGGGATAGAAATCGCAAGCTATTGAGATCAGGCGTAATCAGACAAATTTGATTACCATGGGAATCACATCTCACAAACTTGGAACATAAGCCAACCTCGGTTTGTGTGTAAGTGGTCATATGGCATTATTGGAAACTAAGTCATTTCTCATTTTTTAAGTTGGCCGCTTGGTATCTGTGCAAATAAAATATTAGCTCTCAATTAGTGTAAGCAATCTTGGAACTAATGACTTCAACTTACCATCTTCGGTAAAGGTGTTAGTTGCATGTGAGAAGATACTTTCAGGTACATAAATTATAAAAGTTACCTTAAGCTTCTTCTTTAATTGGGAACAAGTGTAAATGGGTTTTAGGATGGGTTGGTGAGTATCCCTATCCTTAAACATCATTTGTGGCTAATTTGATAGTGAATTACAGCATTTCTCCTCTCTTACGAATATTTGTGTCTATTATCCCCATATTGTTTAATATTTTTTGTATTTGATTTTGATGCATCATATTTCACTCCTAGGAAGGTGTTTTTTTAGCTAAGACATTACATTATTAACAGAAATTAAGTAAAATTTAATTAATATATAACTGAATCCACTAAGGTGACCTACATTTATCGAAAGCTTTATTTGGTTTATCTTATTCACAAAAAGAAAGTTTCAATTTAATATATATGTACTTCAAATAAATTTGTACAGTAAGAAATGGTTAGAATCATGCCATAGCACCAAAATTAAAGAAAAACCAATACAACAACAACAAAACAACAAAGCCTTAATCCCACTATGTGGGGTCGGCTACATGAATCCTTTTTCTCCATTGCGTCCTATTTAGTATCATATTTTCATTTAGTTCTAGTAAATTAAGATCATTTTTAATACAATAAGCCCAAGTCTTCCTAGGTCTACCTCTGCTTTTCTTAACACAAGTCGAATTTAAAACATCTACTCTCCTAATCGGATCATCTAATGGTCGACGTTTAATATGACCAAACCATCTAAGACGACTTTCTCTAATTTTGTCTGTCACAGGAGCTACACCAACCCTATCACGAATATATTCATTCCGCATTTTGTCTCTAAGTGTAAAGCCACTCATCCACCTAATCATTCTCATCTCGGCAACACTTAACTTACTTCTTACTTCTCTATTTACTTGAGACTAATTTATTTCTTGAGACTAATTTATTTCTTACTTCTCTATTTACTTCAGTCTACCATACATAAACATAATTGCTTGGTAGATGTCTGGCAGGAAGTTGTCCATCTCAACTAACAACAACAACATGACTTTATCCATTGTGTTCTACCGAGTGTCGTATTTTCATCTAGTTCTAATAAGTTATGATAAATTCTTAAACAACATGCCCACATCTTTTTAAGTCAAGTTTACATGTATTATACGTGTTTGCTTCTGTTTTTCGTTCTACATTTTGGTAGGATTTTCATATATACTTTCTCGTTCCTATTAAGACATTTTTAATATTTGCTTGATGAGGATGATGTTATGAAGGCAAAGCAGCCTAATTTACTATTGGCTTTACACTTATCTTACATGAGAAAGAACTTTTTCTAATGTTTGTGTTGTCATCAGATCTTGATTTATGGTTGGAGATTGCACTTGAGGAGGATATTTCGGAAGGAAGAGGATGTGAAAGATAGACAAAGGATAAAGTTTATGAAATGCGGGTATGGTAACATATTGAAAAATATGAAGGAAGAATTTTACATATTTTTCATATTTCGATGAGTAGGGTGGATACATTATTTATATGAGAGACATAACCCATAAGGAGAGAAAAAAAATGGGAAGTTTATCAGTGGAATGATTTTTGTCCATAGGTTTGATCAGAGTGAATGGTAGGTGATCAAATAAATTCTAACATTTAAATTCTTGATTTTAAATTTCTTCGACTGAATCAAATGCTCTGTCAGTCGCCATTCGCCCCACCAGCATCCATCGCCAGCCGCTACCTGACATTAGCTGCCCACCGCTAGGCGCATGCCACCCTTCATA